CTATGAAAAGGACATTACCAGGAATAATATATGAAACAGCGAAACGTTAACTATCTATTTTCCTCAAAGCCTGAACAAGGTGGTCTGCTCCACGAGCCTCATACATGTATGTTCAAGAACCGCGTTCTTGTGTCTATTTTGGAAGTTGACATATTCAGCAGAGACAGAATTCAGTCAAAACAGATTAGCTCGAGCTTATCTTAAAGAACATATTCTTTCATTTTCTGAAAAAGCAAAGGCAGGACTGTAAATTTAAAACGCACAGAACGGTACATTCATCCATCTGAAGTAAAGCACTAGTTCACTTCCACAGGCGGAAATGGCAAGTGTTTAAAGTGGGCTAAGCACATGTAGTAACTTTAGAGACAACACTGCAAACACATAGACTCTAGTTCATTTGAACATGTCCAACCTTCTATTTCACTGTCCATGGAGAGTCGCTCTGCAAAGCAAACGGTCCCCTTGTCTTTAGGAAAAGCAGATGTCATTCAACGGCATCCTGACCACAATGTCCCAAATGGCCGTGTCTCACACACGCAGTTTGACCCTGGATTTTCTAATACTGGGCAAAATAAATATCCCTTTTTATACTAGGGGAACGTCCTAAAAGCTCTAATCAACAATAGAAGAAAGCGTAGAAGCGACGTGCAAGAGCAGAGAGAAATGTAAAGCCCGCTCACTTACTCTCGTACTCTCCCCCCCGCCCCTCTTTACTCCAACGCTACTGCCAGTGTTGCCAAGTCCATTTAATATAAGCCACTTTGTTTAATAAAGTCCTTGCAAATATCAGCATTTATGGGTTGCGGGCTTTTTTTCTAGAAAACACGCTTTTATATATATAATTAGACTATGTATTAAATTAAACAAATTGCAAACACGTCTTAAAATAAATGCTTATCTTTTGATTAGGCATTATGCCTCCCTCCATGGTGATATATGAACAACCCACTGCAGGAGCAAAATACAAAATAAAAAGAAAGCGCTTACTGTATTTATTTTCAAAGCAATCGCTACTTTTTCTTGGAAGATTTGGCAACATTGACTACTGCTCCCCCCTGCGAGCGCGTGCATGAATCTCAGCGAGAGGAGACGCTGCGCACGTGCCGCAGGTAAACAGACGCCCTAGTTTTTCCACGAGCCACGCAGACAAAGCAAAAAAAAAAAAAAAAAAAAAAAAAAAAAAAAAAAAAAAAAGAAAAAAAAAGAAGAAAAGAAACAAACTTTAGCAAACGAAGAAATTATTAATGGGAAAGACAGCATGTGACACTGTCTTTCACATTTATAATGACTACTGCACTTTTCCTCAGTTTTTCAAACCGGCTTAGATAATTTTCCCTTAAACATAGCCTATGTAACGGTTTTGGAGGTAGAAACATTTGCCTGGGAATTAGTAAATATACGATGCAAGATAAATAATTGTATATCTATTTGAACGACTGTTTGTTTTCCCCATATTTGCAAATCACAGCCATTGTGATAGGCTACAAAGCTGTGAAAATACCGGTACGCTAAAAATGCTGGTTTATCGCAGTTATGTGTGAAGAGCGAAATAGACTGCCCACAGAATAACTAGACAGCAATTTGGACGCACAGTTTAATTGGTGGACAATATGAATTGGCATGAAGACAATATACTGGTCACGGTTACAGTGCACGACGACTCCAGCCTGTGGCTTTGTACCTGCAATGCTGCAGAGAGAAGCAAAGCCCCGCCCCCTTTCTGCATTATGACAAATCAAGGCAGGCAGCTGTGTGCCATTAGAGCATCAGAGCTCAGCTGAAAGCAAACGATAAATGTAGTGTCAAACAGCAGACGCTGAGGTTTGTCTCGAAATCGTTTTATTTGACACTAGTGCTCGATATAGAAACCAGGCTGTGGTTTAATGACCAGGAATGAGAGTCAGCGCAGTAGCAAGTGAAGAAACCCCAAAATCCAGTAACTGGATTGAATATAGCTATGGCTCTCTACTGATAAACAACAGTGTCACATTGGCCACATCCTAAATGTACTGTTTATATAGCCTGTGCACACTATTTTCCATATTGCAGGAATACTCCTTACAATGTGTATCAATAACATGAAAACTTCAGACTTGTCCTATCTCAAACTTCTTTATTGTAGCAAATTCATATCAACTAATTCTATTGATAATCTAATAACTTCACCTGTAAAGGTGCAAATGCATTATTGCAGGAGTCAGGAATAACTATTTCCTAGCATACACCCTCATTTCCAGGCAGCACTGTTTCATGACGTGCTTAAAGTCAAACCAACTGATGACTCACTCTAATTCAGTTAAGCTTATTCTTGTCCACTAATCCAATAAACCAACCTTTTGCTACTTAAGTTTATAAAACAAAGAGCTAAATGAATAAACAGAAAGAAAAAGTTCTTGAGAACTCTGTGAATGTTGAGAATGTAGTATACTGTAGTAGATTAAGTGTGCATACAAACACATGAAAGTCAGAAGTGCATGGTTGTGAGACGTGAATGGACTGGTTCTGAGAGGGGCATCGGTCCTCTGTTGCTCTCTTTCTCTGCCTTGAGGGCTGTCTGCATTGCAGCTGTCCCTTTCCACAGGCTCCTCACCATGCCCTACTTTACCCTGTCAATGCACACTGCAGCAACAACACTCACCCCCCGCCCCCACCTCCACAGACAAACAGCACCACACACAGGCACTGGCACTCTCTTCTTTACTCAGACTCATAGGAGACAAAGCACTTAGCCTGTCCTTGTAACACACACAGATTACATATCCACAGAATTCGTCCATTTAATAAATATGTGCAGTGATATACAGCAATATACTGCCTGGGCCTTCTTACTGTAATGTGTGATCATCTGTACTGGTTTGGTTTAGTCTTCTGCTTTCCAAACATCATGCTTGTCAAACACTAACCCACTAACCTCACAAATGCTTGTATCTGAATGCTGGCTGCCACTCCTCGTTTCCCAAATCATTCTTCGGGATTGTGTGTCTTGGCTAACACCTGATCGGAGCAAGCAGATTAGAGCTTCGGACGTCAAATTGGCAGGCGTGTCACTTTGCCCATATGCTCCAATATTTTCATAAGCTCTTTGACGCCACAGCCCCAGTTTGAGGCAGCCTGGGTAGCGCTGAAGCATTTGTGGGATTGTATTTTGGTTTGCCAGACTTTAAAGAGGGCAAATCCCCTACAGCGATGGTATGATTAGACTTAAACCCTTGTGTTTAAGTTATCACTAACAGACTGGGACAGCTAAAGGACGGTGATGTGTGCACAAAGCAAGTAGCAGAATCAGTACAGCGGAAGTGTTAATAGGGGATATGAGTCACATGTCTTTCTTTTCGTCCCATCTTCTCACAGACAGACTTTACATACGGTTTACATGGTAAAATTCTAGGTTGAATTTATTACCATTTGCTAATGCATCAGGTATCATGAACTAATAATGAACAATATTTTGAATGCATTTATTAATTTAGGTTAAAGCTAAATTCTACATATTCAATTTAAAGACTTCAAGTTAACATTAAAGTATTAGGAATGAACAGCAATCAGTGTCATTTTAGTATTATTAAATAACACATATATATATATATAGTACTATTTATTTATATACTATTATAGTATTTAGAAGTTGTTTGAGTATTATTGGATTTATATTTTTCATTTTAGTAATTTTTTGTACTTTTGCCTTTTTTATAGGACTGTCAAATGATTAATCACGATTAATCACATCCAAAATAAAAGTTTGTGTTTACATAATATATGTGGGTGCACTGTGTATAATTATATATATATATATATATATATATATATATATACACACACATGCATGTATACTTAAGAAAAAAATATTATTTATATATAAAATATTTATATATAATATAAATTATATCTAAATCTATATACAGTATACACATGAAAATATTTCTTAAATATATACAAGCATGTGTGTGTATTTATATATATAAAATAATAATACACAGTGCACCCACATATATTATGTAAACACAAACTTTTATTTTGGATGTGATTAATCACAATTAATCGTTTGACAGCCCTACTATTTTAGTTTTAGTTTTTTAGTATTTTTATTGGGCTATAATTTTTAAAAAACGTTTTTTATTTAACATTTATATATTATGTTATTTTACTTCAGCTATTTGTTCATTTCATTAGGTTTATTTAAGGTGCGACTTGATTGTCTATCGGGAATTGATTAGAATAATGTCTATTGCTGTGATGTCACGCCAGTAAACACACGAGATGTTGTTGCAAGAGGGAGGGATAGTCATTTTGATGAAGGATTACGATTGATTTAAAAAATAATGATATGCATAGATACTTTTTGATTTCATTTTGATAGATACCATTTTGATTTCATTGTAACTATGACAAGCCAGATGTGAAGGAGCTATCAACTTCACTTTGTCTTAAGTCACAGAAAGCTCATCAAAGTCATCAGTGTACTAGCCTATTTCCAGACTGATTTTCCCTTTGACCTTAAAGTATTAACCACTTAAATAAATTACTGCCTCTCTCCTTTGTGCATGCCATACCTCAGATTAAAGCACAAAGGCAAAACAAGCATCAAAAGCTCTTCCTTCTTATAGCCCTTAAACACAGATTCTACCTAATTACAGGGTGGCAAAGAACACACTTTGCTTGTTGACTTCAAATACATTTTCAGCATATGTGGTGGTTGCTTAGACTTCAACAGAATTCAGCTTTCTTTGCTAAACTTGCCCTCTATCCCCACCTAGAGGTCAATTACAAATCAAACCTCACACATGGACATTTTAAATGGCATCTCACCCTTCCTCAATCCAGATTTTTTATTAACACACACTCTTTCTCTGCCTTCATGGCATACTCTTTATCTCGATCAGAAGAGCCTTGGGCCAAGACACCTTTATATAATCATCTACTTCAAGTAGCTCAATAATCAGGGGTCACATAATGGCTTTTCTCTCCCACAAATGCAGAAAAAGACAGAGAGGAAGACCTACCGTCAAGTGACAGCCAGTCATGCTGGGATGAAGGTAGGGAGGGCAGTGCACGGGCTTTATACTCAAACACAACCGAGTTAGAGATGATTTGATTACTGACAGCCACCTGCAGAGTCACCAGGCCTGTGTCATGGGCTGCAGACACACACAACCCATAATTAGAGAGATCAGAGGAAATCATGAGGAGTTCATGCAGCTCTACTCCTTATCATCTGAGGCCTTACAGAGATTCATTACAATCCAGAAAAAAACATTTACTATTTTATGTTATTTGAAGTAATAAACATTTTATCTTTTTAGAAACACAATATTTCATATTTACTTCTTGGTATGTTAATAAGTCAGTAAGTTCTGTTTGTATGAAAGTGAAATTACCAGGACAGTAGCAACGTAAAACTCCAGGTTGGATGAGGGAGGCAGGGACAGAGATCTGATCAAACAGGCAGGAGTAGCTGCTGTTGTCTTCCTGCCATGATCCTGTGATTAAGACCTTCACGCCACCCTGAAATATGGAGGCAAATAATCCTCACATGACCTACGTTTATCATATCATAGTTACTCAATTAAATAAAGGTTTAAATAAAGATTTTAAGAAAAGAAGCATCTGAAAGGAGAATAAAATACACATGCTACAATGCCATCTTGTGGAAGAAAACAAGACTACAACATCGATACGTTTTAAATTGTTTTCAAGGGTGTTCTGCCATCTCGTGGTGCAATAATTCAACAGCAAGAGATCAAATACCGGGTTCATATTATATTAATAATAATAATTCAAAGGTCATTTCACTAATTTTTAATAATCTAAACATGTATAAATAATAATTACAATGATTTTTGTTGTTATTATAAGCATCTAATAATATTAAAAAAATAATGTTGAGCATGTGACTGAAATGCAGGAAAAACTGAATTTAAAGCATTTCATTCAAACAGACAACCTCTGGGTAGGACCACTCTGGAGAGTAGTCTGTGACCATGAAAAGTCGCCCGGTGGCCTGCAACATTCCCAGAGTGCCCTGGGCCACCGCAGCTGACACTACTTCAGCGACATGCATGTAGGCCAGTGATCCTGTCTCTCCTGAGCCTCCGCCAGCACCAGCACCTCCACCTAAAGACTGGGGGCTGCAGCATGACTGGAGGCAGAGCTCTGAGGGGCTGTATCCTGACACTCTGTTGCTTGTATTCTCTTGACCTTGCTGTTGGTTCCCACCTGAGGTGGCTGTTCCATCTGACCCAGGAGGGGCCACCAACTGGTGGGTGTATAACGTTCCCGCAGCCCCCACAGCCGTGGCTCCGCCGTCTACAGAGATGAAGTCGTTGATGAGGTCAGAAAACTGGTTTCCAAAGGAGATGTCAAAATGATCCAAGCTGATTTCCATGCCTGTGCCTCCTCCGCCGTTGGCTCCGGGTCCACTGAGCCCGTGGTTAGTGTTGTAGAGCCCCTGAACCAAATTAGCTCCCTGAATCAGTGGTTGGAGTTGCTGTTGCGAGCCGTTGTTGGGCCCGCTAGCGGTGTTTCCATTCCTCAAAGCCACGGCTTCGCCTCCATTCTCAGAGCTCTGCTGCATGAAGTGATCTGCTCCTCCGCTATCTCTGTTTCCTCCTCTGCAGGATTGTAGATGATCCCCAGACTTTAGTAAGCCATCTGTCCCATTCTCAGTGGCCCCAGCCTGACCGGACCCAACACTGCGACTCTGATCCATACCGACCACATCCTCGTGCTCTGGACCAAGGCCTGGAAAGCTTCCCTGGTACTGGAGGAGCTGCAGTGAGCCAGCCTGTCCCTGGGCCTCAGTGGGTGAGCCTCCATTGCAGTTGGGTCTGTGCTGGCCCTGGTGGGTGTGATGGTGGTGGAGGTGGCCATTACTGCCGGGCGACTCCGTCTTTACAACCTGCAGACCCATGTAGCCTCCATCAGGGGAGTTATGCTCCAGCAAGTGGCCCTTCTGGCTGGAGCTCTGCCGGCCTTGCTGGTTCTGGGCTGGCTGCGGTGGTTCTTGAAGGAAGAAGCTTGGAGATTGGTTCTGGTGAGTTAGGTTGTTCATTGCCTGGCTGTAACCTACAGCAGAGGCACCGGTGGAGTAGTCCTGCTTTGCATCGATGGCGCTGAAATCCATCTGCTCCAGGGTGGTGCTCGGACTCAGGCCCCCTCCAGATGGTAGCAGCGAGGAAGCAGGGGTCAAGGTGAGTGAGTTCTCGGCGCCGGAGCCATTGGAAACGCTGCAGCTTACGACTGCCCCCACCTGGTAGCTCCCTTCTTTGGCCAGCTGTTGTTCAAAGGACGTGTCCTCAGTCTTGATGTTCTTCACCAGGGCAGAACTGAAGACGTAGTTTGAATCCGATATAGTTGGCGAGCGTTGCAAACCGTTGGTGTTAGCTGTTGAGGAGGACGAGGCACTGCATGTGCCATTCTCCTGCTTTAATCCACTTCCTCCATATGTCTGGCCCTGCTTAGGGTTATTCAGGAAGCAGTCAGGGTCGAAGTTCATGGTGGTTTCAGGGATTTTAATGCTGCCAGAGTCTAGGCTGCTGGAGAGGACAAGTTCATCAGAGATGCCAGAGGCAGACAGCATGGATAGCCCGTCTGCTCCAGGACCGCCTGCATCTGCGCTCCCACTTCCTGGAAAGGCAAATTTGTGGCTGTCAGAGGGGACTCCCAAGACCAGACCATGAGAGGTGGCATCGGGCCCATAATATGTGCGTTGGGGCCTCCGGTGGGGGACATGCTGTAGACGGAATCCCCAGTCACCTCAGACATGAAAACACTCTGGGATAGGCTGCTCATGACAGAGGCAACGTGGCCCATGCCCGTGACCGCCGGGCTGTCAGCCATGTCGGGGTCCGAGTTCAGCCCGCTGCTGATGGACACAGGGGAATTCTGGGTTGTGTCTGGCACTTCCACCTGATTGGTGGAGGACACCTCAGTGCTGTTCTGGTGCAGCAGGACGGGTTTGTGGACCTTGCCGTTGCGTTTCTCACGCACGCTCCCTCCTCCTGTTCCTCCGCTGTTCTTGCTGCTGTGGCTGTGCTCTGTCTTACCCTCCGACACATCATTATTCTGGAGCTCAGAGTGGGTGCTGCTATAGCCTCCTGAGCGAGGGTCCACTTTGGGAGAGATTATGCGGTGTTTGGCGCTGTTACATTTATGATGCACACTGCTTCCAGCACCTACAGAGAGAAAAAAAACAGCTAGTCATTCTCCAAACTCTTTAACAATTTATAATAATAAAAACAATGTATTATTATTATTTATTAACATTATCCATACTAGTCATATGACATCATCCCTTTTAAAATTAGCATTATTATCCCTAGTATTATCAAAATATACATTATTATAATAATAATTATTCTATACAAAATCTACGAATAGATTATAAAATAATAACAATAATAATTCAATTATTATTATCCATAGTAATTCATTCAGAATTATTCATATTTATCAACTTAATGAGATTAATGAACATCATTAGTAGTATTATTGTCAATATTTACATTATAATGAAAAATAACAGTATTTAAATGAACATAATCATAAAAATGTGTTATTTGGTCCATTGAAACTACATAGGAATAATACAAAGAACGCATCATATTAACTACACTACTATTTTAGATATGACACCACTATACGAGGCTGTTTGGTTTAAACACTGAAAATAATAGGAATTCAAAGAATGATCCACATAATGTATTTAAAATTGAAAATGCTTTGATGATGATATTTTGAAGGAACACTGAGATTAATTCAAGTCTTTATAGAGACCATCGATCATCAGTATTAATCGTTTCATGAGAAGCCAACACGCAGCTTTACCGTTTTGTTAATAAATGGCTGATATGTCTCATTAGTCATTATACTGCATACTTGGCAAATGAATTTTATATGAACATAAAACAAATGGTGATCAATCTACCCCAAAATCATTTGTTTTAAAGACTCGATTCAATTTGCTTCAGAGTAACGGCACCCTAGGAGCGACACCATGGGATTGTAAAGTGCTGTGCTGGATATTTGTGATGGAGTACAAGGTGAAAATTCATTTGTTGTATGCTTGAGTATAAAAGACTGCCCTGACTGAACAGATACAGAGGAACATTACGCCCCCCAGTGGTGTCATTACAACAGACAGCTCAATAAATCAGCGCATCTACTGTATGAAATGTTCATCCTGGACCTAGAAGCTGCTGTAATCTAATTAGGCATTCAATCTGCTCTACACTCACCTCATCTTTTAAAGTTCTTGAAGACATTTTTAAAGCACTACCTGCTTCCTCGGTCTCTACCAGTCTCTTTCTGACTGCCTCTGTCCCACACCCCAGCCCTCCTGTCTGTCCCTTACCCAGAGTGCCAGTGCAGAGGCAGTTGTGAGTCCGGGGAGGAGGCTTGGTCTGGTGGCTGTCCAGTATCTGCTGCACCAGCTGCTCCACAGAGAAGCCAGAGCTGCTGTTCCCATTGCTGCAAGTCCACTTGATGCCATGAACTGCCGAGGGAGAGAGGAGACACAGTCGTCAGCCCACCAGCCGAGCCTTCCAGCCCTCCCCCAGCCCGCCTGTGCACTACATCCCTGACCTTACCTCAGAGCCAGACTCCATATCAGAAACACTTTGTCCACTACTACGAGAAAAAGCTAACCTCAGACAGGAACATGGAAAGTTCAAGAACAGATTTAGGCCTGTTAAAGGTGAATTTTCAGCTGAGGAGGGAGGGGAAAAAAGAGCAAAAGTCTTCCTCGTCTCACTTCAGCTGAAGTAAAAGCCCCAGCCCTTTGACAAGGTGCTTTTTGCTGTTTATGCCCTTCTGCTGCCATCACCATTTCCAAGCTCAGCCTCTCTCCACTGAGAAAAAGAACAACAACAACAACAACTGGAACAGAGAAATGGCAAACGGAAAGATGAATGCGACAAAGGAAACGTGGCAATCTCTAGAGAGGAACGGTATTTAGAATATCAAACGGCATTGAGCTACCTTAATATGGCTCGTGCACACTTGAGTGTGCGTAACAAGCCGAGGTGAGATTGCATGCGAAAAGCGAGGGGAGGAAAAGGGAGGCGAAGAGAGAAAGAGACAGAGTCAAAAATAGATAAAAGAGACAAAAACGTTTGGCTTGAACTCCCAAACAGTGCTGCGTCACCAGCCGGAGCAGGCACAACAGTTGTCACACACACAGCAGGTTTCTCTGCTCTGCTGAGCTCTGCCATTCCGCGCTTGGCCAGAGAATCGCAGCGGCGTTCCATAAGCCATTACACCAGCATGACCATGCTCCAACAGACAAATCAATCTCACAGCGTGAGCCTGAACCAGAGTCGCGGCACAAGGCAGGTCATGTAATGAAAGGGCAAGCTGCTTTGGTGGATACGGCGTGACATCGCTGCGAGGATCTGAAGAAGAATCCACTGATTTAGACTCACAGGGATTCTCCCACATTTCAGTCCACAGTGGCGCTTTCTAATCGGGTTTTATCGCCGCAAATGTTGTCTGGGGAATGACGTTCATGTATTTCTTTGGTGCAGTGGGCCCAAACTGGGGTGCGCAAGAAATGGTTTGGGTACTTGAGATGAAAGTATTTAAAAAATATATATATATATCCAAAGCAATTGTAATTCATTATTATTAATATAAAATATTCAAAGTGACTGTAAAAACATCTATACATTTTTATTCATTTTAATAAAACAATAGTTTTCATAATAATAATAAAATTGACTGACACCACAGGGCCATTTAAAATTAAGAATTGAAGAGTAGTAAAATATCATTACAATTAAAAATACAATATATATATATATATATATATATATATATGTACATTTAATTAATAATACTATTACAATGTATTATGTATATATTAGAATATAATATGTATTATTCTTATATGAAGAGTTCAGATGCAAAAGCCTCTAAATGCCATTTGAAATTTTCTTCTTTAATGATGATTTTTATCAAACTTGTATATTTAAGTTCAGTAATTTCACTTAAATAACAATTAATAGGCAATTATCATTGCAAATTTAAGTGAAATGACTGAACTTAAATATACAAGCTTGATAAAAATCATCATTCTAGAAGAAAATTTCAAATGGCACTTAGAGGCTTTTGCATCTGAACTCTTCATTTATTAAAAAAGTTTTGAACACAATCAAGAGATTTTTTAATTATATTACATTATTCAGATTAGATGTGATACTTAAAATGCTGCTGACAAATGAAATAAAAAGATTCTTGTCTTTAAGGTTTAAAGGACCTCAGAACCACTCTCTTCAACTTGTGTTTTTAATCGCAGCCTATCTTCAGGAAACATAAATCACATCAGATCTGTGGTCTCCTACTGTGTGTGTGTCTCTGATCATCTGCTCATGCAGCAGTAAGGGGGCTTCAGGCATGGCTGGTCCACGGTCTCTTAAATTATATCAGCGGAGAGAATGAATCAGGCCGGCTTGTTCTCCTCTCCAGCTGTACTGTGACTAAGCAACTGATACGTTTCAATGACCTGCAATCTGACCTCTGCTGCGCACGCCTACTTGAACATAAAAACACATTTACAAACTATTTTACTCGGTGTAAGATGATGTATTTCTAAATAGTAATTGATAATCAACTACGTCAACAAAAAATCTGGAGCACAATTCATTTGATTGTGAATGAAAGTGTTCTCTATTTGAAAGTGGCTGAACTAAACAAGAACATTTTAGGTCGGATTTCATATTTTTCTTATAATGCAAAAAGTTCGAATTCTAGAATCTAGATAACAAAAAAGCTCAAAGCCTTGATGTGGAATTAAAATATATATTTTGAAAAAAAAAAAAACTCACATCAAAATCACCCTGCATAGTAGAGCTTGAGGGGAAAAATAACAAATCTATATTTCACACTACAATGATGAAACACACTCATATCGTGCAAAGCAGGTGATGATGCAACCTCAACATTGACGCGTTTCCATGGTATCTGATGCAAATGCGTTACAATGTTTGAAGCAGAAGTACTGAAACTTCTCCGCAACCCATCAACAGTTACAGCAGTCTTTCTCTGAGGACTGTCAGTCGAAGAATGCATCGCTCCTCACTCCCAACTCAAAACACACCTCGTCCCGTTAATGAATGCAAGCTGTTTGTGTATGATATGGGTCACCCAAGGGAACAAATTGGGTTTGTAGAGCTGATGTATAATGCATCCATGAATTATGCATGGATAATATAGTTCACAATGAATCTTTGACTGTTAACAGACTGCATGCCTGCATCTCCGCCACAAGGTGGTACTGTTGCTCTACAGATGAGCTCGCGTCACAGATGCTCATGAGGGTGAATCTTGTGGCCCTATTAGCCTAGTCTCGGTGCACTGGCCCGACTGGTGGAAGACATCTCGCACCTTTGCCATTGTCCACACCATTTGCAATGTTAATGACTTGCATGCATTACCGCAAATGGTTTGAATGTAGATCAGGGATGGAGTGTAATGAACACATTAGTTTACAGCACGTGTCTTAAAGTCAATGTGAAAGGGAGCTCTTAAGTGATTGCCGTGAGAGCTCTTATGGGGATCGTAACACGCGGCAGCGATTACAATGTCAGCTGAGCTCGTCAGTATTCCCCTCGCCGACATCTTGTGTCTAAAAGTGCTGACGCGGGGGATCCGACTTCATATATTCATTACCTTGACAGCCCTGTCCTAGTTCGAATGATCAATGCCAGGCATCACATACAGAGACGTGTCCACACAAGACTGGGTAAACATGATTATATGCATGCCATCGTCGCCTTTTTAAAATTTATTTTTATACTACATCCTCATTAGACAGGTTTCCTTTGGTCAACTGACCCTGGGACACCAGGGAGCCTCGGAGTGGGCATGTACAGGCGGTGAGGTAATAATCATGTCAAGGGTTCCACATGGGATGATCTAAGGGCAGGTAAGATAAGCTGGGAGAGACTAACTTCTCATGAAATATCACATAACTAAAACAGCAGAGATCTTGCATAAATCATACAGAAATGTCATGTCATGTATCACTGTTTAAGCACCTAAAGGCTAGTTCACACTGCACCAACAACTGTTGGGTTTTGCTGGATCAGTATTGTTATCCTTTTGGTGTTTGTTGAGGCAGTGTGAACCACGGTCTCTTGTAATCAAGATATATAAAAACATTAAAAATGTGTAATTCAATCGTCAACATATTAATATGGAGTGCATTTAAATGAACGTCACTAAATGTATTATTTTATCACTTAATATTTTAGTAAATAAATACACAGTATATACAATGTATATGCGGCCTTGGTGAGCATAAGAGACTCTTTTCGAAAACATGAACAAATCCTACAGACATTATTTGCTGCGCATGCATGAGAAGAGACTTTGCATTCAGTTGACAGAATGTGATTGGACACTCACACATGGGTTTCAGTTGGCCAATGAGTTCCTCCTTTGTCCATTTGGCCCATTCTTTCTTGTCTGTATTGATGGAGCACAGGATGGGCCCACACGGCTTCCCACAATCCTCGATAGCTGGCACATTCAGGTAGTGGACCAGCACAATGTCTGGGTTCTGGGGAAAAGACAAGAATAAGAGAGAGAAAAGAAAAAAAGGAAGATGTAGTGTGGTGAGTGGAAAGGTTTCATAATAACGGTTTCATTTATGGAATTACATTTATAGCTGTAAAATTCCCAGCTTGCCGTAAGTGTTCTTAAGGAAAATGTAATTCATTTGACTTTTTCAATGAAAGAAAGATAATGTAAACATTTAATTAAAACGATTTTATTATCAAAAAAATGTAAGCCCAAAAATCCTTTTGTTGAGTCTTTAGGGGTGATGTGAGTTATTGTGTGTTTAGCACTATATTTGCACACTTGACCACATTTATGGAGTGATGGAAATGGAGAATAAGTGAAAGATGTCATTTTCTGTCCGTTCTTCTCCATCATTTGAGGAATTACTGTTGTCATGTTTGCAAGAAAACACACATTGTCTCTTCTGAATAAAATAGCTTAGAACGGCTTTCTAGCGCAACATTAATTGCACAGGCAAATAGCGCTGAGTCTTGTGAATAAGGTGTAATCTATAATAAGCCTAATTTGCATAGAAAGGAGGCATGTTTGTACTGAAAAGAATGACAACGATTTCATTTAAATACACACAGTGGCGCCTGGTAAAGCCAAGAGTGGTTAGTGAATAAAACTGTTTGTGCGCAAAAGTGGTGCAAATGTTTACTGATGTATGTAGTGCCAAAGTTATTCAGAGAGAGGATAAAACCAGGAGCAGAACATCCCAAACAGGGATGAGTTGTGTGAGACTAACAAAGCACCTTTTTTTTTTTTACCTTTATCATTGTGGTTTTCAACTCAAAAGTGGGCTTATTTTATATATAGAAAACATTCTGTCAATTTCAGGTCAGTAAGTCTTGGCTGGATATATTTTGGCAGCTTATGATTAAAAGGGTTGTTCAAAGCATATCTAGCCGGTATGAACAACATCAATTCCGTTTGTAATCATAAATAGCGTTGATTACAAAGAGCTGTAAACAGTCCAGAACAAGCGGTCCCCTGTCACCACAGAGATTACACACACACACACTCAAAAAAATCCCACTCGTTCCAGGACGCCAACATTTGAATGTCACGTCACGTGAAACGCAGATACACGACGCATACACAGACCGAATCCGTACACTGAAACAGTGAAGAAAACTGTCCCTTTCATTAGCATTTTTATTAGTTTTATGAGCATTACGTGCTGAGTGAATTGGGGGCTGCGGCTCTGTGCTGCCTCTCGCCTTCAGCATTACATTTTGACGCACATGTGCAAAATCTATGCATACTGCATGCTCAATGGGGTAATACACACAGAGAAAGACATTCAAACAGCCGCTGGCACTTTTAAAGAGAGCGCCATGGTAACCACACCTGATCACGGCTGTGTCCGAAAGCTTAGCAGGCAGTATAAAGAGTATCTTTATCATTTTGAACATCTTTAACTAATAAGATGGATTAACCTGTTCAGTTAGAGATGCACACTTCACTGCCTATGATATCCCACAAGTTCGAAAATCATAATTCAATTCATTAACACATTTATTGATAAAGAAATGAATAAAATGTATGCATAAATCTTCCTATCAAGAAATAATTTCTGTAGCAACTAACTAAGCACATTCACAACTATTTTATTTCTAAATCTAACTTGGATTTGTTTTATGCAGATTATTTGTGATGACATCATGGAGCTATGGGATATATCATTGTAGCATTATTGTGACAAATAAAATTAAAAATAGTCCAATACACATAATATAACACAAAACTTGTGAAAATAGTCACAATGCAATAAATAAATAAATGGAAAATGATTAAATCTCGTAATGGTCTCAAAAATACCTTTTATTTTCTTAAAGCTACACCGTGTAACTCTTTTAGTTTATTCTTAGCTAAAAACACACTATATGTGCTCATTAATGTATATTTCGTTCAAGTAATAAAGTATTCTCGTGAGTGTAGCCTATAATATGCCATTGAAAATACATACGGGTAAGGGGTTCTAATGTCGTTCGCCATGTTGCCCATTAGCCAAAGAGGGACATACCCATTAATTCAAGGTTCGCCTTCCGCGTTTACGTTTGAGTTAACACTCATGGACGAGGTCGAACTGGAAGCCATGTTAATCTTGGACTACATTGGCCACCGTAGGAGCTGAAACAAAATCGGAATTGAGAGGAACAGAAACTATTCACTGGATGGTCATATACCTTTTCACCACTAGATGGTGTTAAAAATCACACAGTGTAGCTTTAAGAAAAATATATTTTCTCACCCAGGGTTAGATTATGACCAGATGAGCCAAGAAAGCATGGTGTCTAGGAAGCCTGGTCTGAAACGAATATACTAAAATGCTGCCTGTTTAGTTACTTAAGCTACTTTAGTTATCTTCTCATACTAGACATCTCTGAACCCCTCAATTACAGCGCTGTTGACCAGGTTAAGACTGATTTTCCTCTCTCAAACAGTTCTCCGACCACAACTGAATGGACTGCAAATCACAATTAGACAGAACATTGACAATCTCTGCGTGGGACTAACAAGCCTTGAACAGCAACCACAGAGAGTGAGGACAAAATCTGCAGGACGAAAAAGGGCGGCAGAACAAATCAAAAGCTAAATTCGGAGCGCTCAAAATCAAACAGCCCTGTAATTCACAGCGAGAACTTTTGATTGAACTCTTCAACCAGCACACTTGATATTCAAAGGGAATGTGTCAAGGTGTTTGAACAGCACCTTTGATGGATTAAAAGGAAAAGATTTGATTTAAAATTTAAATCCATAGGAAATCTGTCTTCATGAGAGGATTTTAAGAGTAAGTTCTGGTGTACTATTCTCTTTCAAGTGGATGAAGGGAGTGTGCTGGACCGGGGAACTAAGGACGCTCAGGCAAGGGTCTTGCCGCTGTAGCCATCAGCTTGTGGGAGCAGACACCCACGCTACATCCCCATATGGGACAAGCAGCTCGGGTAATCACCAGGCCATGCCCTCAATCCTTAACCAGCACGAAAGGAGTAAGTAAGTAAAACCCAGAAACATAAACACATTCTCATGCATATGTGGGTGTTAAATGGATTAAATTGTCAAAAAGTCCAGGTTTTATTTTACCCCAAAACAAAAAGGGTTAGGTGCCATGCTCAAAGGCACCTCAGTCATTCATTTCCTGTTGCTATTGAGTAGTGGGAACCTTCGGGTTACAAGTCCGACTCTCTAACCATAGACTACACACATAATCTAAGAAAAACTATACAAATATGTTATAGGGTTAGGCCTAGGGTGTCGTTGGACCTTCTAGCTCTATTACACCCAAATTACATCTACAGTACATCACGCTCCACCCATTCCTCTGCAGCGAGCAGCTCAAAATAACCTCAAATTTTTCTATGTGAACTATAATTTCATATTTTTTCCTTTTGATTTTGGGGTTAATTATGACCCCAACATTTCATGATATTCACATAAACATACAGAATACAAAATAGAGATAGTCAATGTGAAAAAAAAAAAAAGATTTACATAGTTAACCTCTCAAAAAAACAAAACCCCACATATATACCAACAGAAGCCATGACCAGCGCACACACACACACTCTCCTACGCCGATACATTTGTCCCTGTTTTACAATGCACATTTGGCAGACTTACAACCCATCCAAATATAAGTAATCTGTGAAGCTGTGCTTCGGTCGTAAATTCAAGAGTGAGCCAGAAGCGTATGACATCTACGGCTCACTCCTTTCTGGCGCTCTGTCTCTTCAGAGAGCTTTTACACACCCACACAATCCCGCTCGCACCCCCTCTAGACCCGATAGCACAACAACACAATGAAAGTGTGCAGTGTCTTATAAATCTATCAGGATGCAAACTTCATTTAATTTAATTTCCTGCTGGCTTCTCTCTTTTATTAACAATTAGTTTTCGTCCAACAAGCAAAAGGAGGAGGACTGAGGAGGAAACTTTCAGCCTGGATACTATTTGGTGGAGAAAATGCGATCTCAAGGTATTGATTGCGCAATGTAATCTTTAGGCCATGTTTGTGGTACATTTCCATGGAGGACCAGGGCTTGCTTCCAGGTTTGTTGATGTGGGAGAAGGGGGCCAAAGTTTGGATAGAGTTGCAGCGTGTGCAGGGCTTGTGGTATTGCGTAAACGGCATTTTTCATTATTAAAGGCATTCATTTGAGCTCAGCACCTTTACGCTAGGCTCATCCCTGGAGTGCAGAGGCGTGTGTATCTTGTACTGCCGGTCTATAGAACCTTTACTTATCCCTTGACTTCACTGTTTAAGAGCATTAAATGCTAAATTAAGGTAAAAATTAAACTTCATTAGGAACCATTCTGTGCTTGAATTCACACAAATTGTTTTCTTACTCTAGTCTTGTCATTGGTAAGCAAGAAAAGCAATTAAAGCTTGTTCGCTTTTTTTTGCTTTAAGCTCGCAGAAAGAGAGCAGATCTCAATTCTAAAGGTGTTTCTCTGTTTGTGTGTGTGTGTGTGTGTCTGGGGAAACACACAGGTACCTGGAAGCACCGTGGTAACCTGGCAACTAGTAGCTGGACGCCCACATGGATGAGGCCAATGTGGTCATGAGTGCTGCCCCATAGCCGGCCTCAAGTGCTATAAATATCCACTAGTAATAGCTTCAGGGTCATTACTGCTGCTCAGGACTGCCTCCAACCAGCATCAACTCCAACCTGAAGGGCTGGGAAGAAGGACAGGGTTTCAAATAGGTATCTGCATATTACAGATGATTTATTGCAGCATGGGGGAGGGACGGACTGTTCTGGCAGATAAGTGCTTGTGCGTATAAGATTGTCTTTGAGTTGGACTTGTTTGAAAGCGGGCGGTTTGGGTTTCATATTTAACTGGCACTGGTTCAGATCTGGACACATGAGAACATTATTTGTTTTGTTGCAGTTGATTGCTGCTTCTGGTCATGCGAATGAGTCACTCCTGTTATGAAATAAATTTTTTTGTGTATGTCTGAATATACAGGATAAAATATTACGCTCACAA